TTGGTAATCTTAATGCACTATTTTATATTCTTTTGAAATACTAATAAATAATTTGTGCTCTCTCTTCTGATGAACCCTATGTTAATTTGTGTGCATGTTGAATCCTTCCAATAGATTGTAAGTCCCTAGAGAGAAGGAACTCTTTTGTTTGTTATTTTTTTGTTTGTTCTGGTTTTTTGTATCCACAGTATTTAGCACATTACCACCTGTATGTTAGGTACTTTTATAAATACTTGAGTTTAATTCCTAGGACTGACAAAAAATTGAGAGTTCAACATCAAATGATCCCTCCAGATCCATGCAGCTCTGTTTCATGATTTCCTATGTCTATATAATGGTTATCTCAAATTGTTTTAAAATTGTAAATTCATAAATACTTCTTAGTCTATTCATTTTTCTATAAATATTTAACATTAATCATCTTTACCATTACATCAAATAAACAGCACTTATTTATATTGTTCCTTATTCTTTCTGTGTATTACTGAAGAAGTTATCACTTAATTCTCTGAGGAACTTTTGGAAAGCTAAATGATTGAAAACAATTAAAAAAATACAGGACACATGGGATAGACCTATTAGAAATTGGGGGGTGTGAGTTAGCACCCTGCATCTCGATACAGTGAGAGTAATTACTATTTTAAAAGTTTGATAAGTTGTCTTTGATTCCACAGTTTGGTGGCCAAGCCTACAATGATGTGGAACACACCTCGGTACAGTGCTACGCCTTGCATGGAATTGAATGTGCTGGCCCTAGAAATTTCTTACGAGAAAATAAACCATGTATAAAGTGAGTGTTACCTTGAAAGGAGATTGGTCTGGAGTTCTTTTCTTTCTCCCTGTTTTTAGTTTGTCATTGCTTCACCCAACTTTTCCCATTAACTTGAGTTTTGAAAGTTTAATGTAACTGTTTTGGTACACAACTCAACCTTGAGCAATATGGTAGAATGAGAAGAGATCCCTGGGAATTGGAGAGTCGGAGGCTGGCCTCAGCTCTGTCATTAAATGTGTAGGATGTGAAGTTAGAGGACTTGGCTACTTCTGCTTGCTATCTCTGGGACCTTGGGCAAGTCACTGTGCTCTCTGAACTTCAGTTTCCTTCCTCATTCGTAAAATGAGGGGGCTGATTTCTTAAGTCCCTTCCAACTCTGAATTAATGAAATCTGCAGCTAGGATTAGCCATTCTTCCTCTCTGAGCCTAAGTTTCTTCTGCTATAACATGAAGGGCGTTGTACTAGGTAACTTCTAAGGCCCCTGCCAACTGTAGGCATTTATAGGCATAAATCTTGCCCAGACAGTCCCTATAGTACAGAAGGAACCTAATAAGGAAGCAGGCTTCTCTCTACTGAAGCTCATTTTATTTATAGTTAAACAGAAAACATGTGCTTAGGGTCTCAGAATATAAACATGCCTTGCAGGCTAGATAGTGAATGATTTTATTTATGGCTTGACCTTATGGCAGTTAATGAAACTAGGCAGTTAGTGGTATTGTATTGTATTGTGGAGAGAAAACCCTGTGAAGAAACATGTTGCAGCAGTTGTTACCAGATAATAACCTGAAAAAATTATAATAATTCAGAGGCCTTAGAAGAAATAGACTAAGATATGACAAGCCTTCCTAGAATAAATATAGTCAAAAAGAGCTCTGAATTACAGAAAGCTCCACATCCATAATTACCTATGCATTTCAATTTGACAAAAAAACCAGTAACTATTTGAAATAATAGTTTCATAATACTGTGATCTGTAGAGTTTATCTTAAAACATAGATAATTTCTTTGACCTCCACCAGAGGGAACCAAAGTTAATTATTTTATTATAGCATAACACTACCTTTCTATCATTTCATTTAGGCCACAAGCATTTTAACTTTCCTACATTAAAGAATCTTTCTTTCATTTTTTTCCTAGGTACACTGGACACTACTTCATAACCACCTTGCTCTACTCCTTCTTCCTAGGATGCTTTGGAGTTGATCGCTTCTGTCTAGGACATACGGGTACAGCAGTAGGGAAATTGCTGACCCTTGGAGGACTTGGGATCTGGTGGTTTGTTGACCTTATTTTGCTTATTACTGGAAGGCTGATGCCTAGTGATGGCAGCAACTGGTGTACTGTTTACTGAAGAGGGCTAGACTCATTGAGAGTTAGTGTGGCATGGGAAAGTGAATGACCTTTCTCTCGTGACCTTGTCTCTACAAACTGCAATTTCTTCCACCATCTCAGACTAAATTGTTGTTTTACCCTTTTTAGAAGAGAATCTGCTGGAGCCATGTTGTTGGACTTTAGATTTGGAAGCCAGGTCTTAAGTTGCAGTCCAGAAATGATAAATAATGCTCTGAAAAATCAACTTTTTATCTGCAGAAAAGAAGGTATAAGTATGCTTGTTCGGAAGTAAGCAGCAAGAGGATTTCTATACCTTTTTGCATGCCTTCCCTCTACAATACTATGCTTTTGGTCTTTTGGAACGTGTATTGAAATGTCATGAACAAAGTGAGCATTTTTAGAATGTACCTGGCCTATTATGCTCCATGCGCTGGAAGATACCTGAGATGAAACCAACCATTGAAAATCTGTCTTCAGCAAAAGGTGGAAATCGAAGTAGCTTTTAATGAATACTGAAACTCTGACTTAATTCTTATGTTCCATAAACTGTGTTTGGCCAAATGGAGAAGCTGTACAGGTATATTGTCATTTGAACAAGCAAAGTGAAGCCTCTAGTTCAGTTATGTTATAAGAACCAAATTTTGGAAATGCCCAACTGCCCTTCACAGCCCTCAGGATGTCAGCATTGTGCCCCAGGGGTGTTATCTACTGTGTACAGATGACTTCATTAAAATTTTGTTTTTAAAGAGATGTCTGAGTGATGTATCTGAGATCAGACATTTCTCTTGGCAGAAATTTCTCCTTTAAAATTCTGGATCTAGTAACAAATAGAAGAATAACTGCTTGTATAAGAGTTTTCACATAGATAACTGAAATGAAAATTCATGACTAGGAAAGTTATAGGTTGAGAGTCTTCATGTGCTAGCAAGGAAAAATAGGTTTCTGCCCTAAGAATTTTCATTCATTCAAAAGCATTTATTAAGCACCTACACTGTTCCAGGCAATGTGCTCAGCCTGCAAAACAAAACAAAACAAAAGCAAATACAAAAATAAAGGAGTCCCTACCCTCAAGAGTCTTACATTTTATTTGGAATATTGGGGAGAAAGTGGAAACCAAATACAGAATTGTCAAATTTTAAAGCCAGAGAGGACCTTGGAGATAGTATGAAATGGTAGAAAAAGTGGTGAAAAGTGATATAAGGAGAAGGGAGCCAACTTGAACCTGCTCAGGAAAGCCAATTGTTAAATTTTCAGTGTGAGCATTTACATCTCAGATTGGCAAAAGCTAGCAGTTTGTTTTGTTGATTGTCTAGAGTTAAGAAAGTAATGGAGAAAGGGTTAATGCAGACTAAACTTAAGTGTGTGTGTCCCACCCACCTATCCTGAGAGCTGGTTGTTAAACTTTTACCGAGCATGCGCCTGGAGGAAATCCATGTTCTAACCCTGGCCATGTGATTTTGAGCAAATCACTTCTCTAGGCTTCAGTTTCCTCATCTGAAAAATGAGGGATTTAAACTCAATCTCAAAGATCCTTTCCTATTCTACAATTCTATGGTCTTCTGGTTTAGTGTTTTAGTTTGGGGGGTTTTCCCCCTCCCCCCTCCCAGGCGTGTGTCACATCAGTGTAAACGATAGTACTTAAAAGTGTTCCTGTAGGCTAAAGCAACCAGTTGGGGGATTTGGTCCAATTTTCCCATTCGAAAAAGACTGGAAACAATCCTTTCTTCTTAATAATGCTGTTGTGTTTTGAATTACAAATGATTTTTAAAGGTAAAAATTATTTTTACCTTTCTTGTATTTAATAATTATAATTGCTAGCATTCATATAGCATTTTAAGGTTTACAAAATACTCTGTGTAAATTATATCATTTTAACTTGACAACCCTTAAGGGATTTGGAAACAAAGAACATGGGCTTGGATCTGGCTCTGCTGCTTCCTGTCTGTGTGACCTCGGGCAAGTCATTTCCTTCCGTGAGTCTCAGTTTCCTCATCTGCAAAATGAGCGCTATGAACTAGTGCTAGGTCCTTTCCAAATCTAAATCTTCTGATCTTAGGAAGTAAGCAACAAAATGGGATGATGACATCCAAGGTAATGATAAAGATGATGTTAGAGGAGAGCTCCCCACCACCAGAGAGGGCCACCACCATGCCACCTTTTTTTCTGCTTTTCAAGGAGAAAAGGAGTATACCTAACAATGGGTCACCCTCTCTCCTTCACTGACTATCTATACACAGCCGCCCCACTTAAGAGATTTCCAGGCTTTGGAGAAATGAAAAGTGGTTTGTCACAAAAAGGTCAGACCTCTGGCTTAGATCTCCTTTAGGAGTAACATGTAAGACTGTTCCCTGTCAGGTTGGGTTTAATTTCTTTATAAATTCTCTTAATAATCAAAGTTCAAATTGTGCTCCACTAACAGAATGTGCATGTTGGTGTACTTTACTATTGGTTTGTGTGACAGTGAGCATTCCCTAAAACTGGTTGCCTCAGGAGATGTTTCCCTATCCCCGGAGGTCTTTGAACAGAGACTGGAGGACCAGTTGTTGGGGATGGCATCCAGGACATTCTGGGTCACTTCCTAGATGCCTTCCAAGGGCACTTCCCACCAAGAGATTTCGCAGTTTCTTAATTTCTCTAAGCCCGTTCCCTTATTTATAAAATGGACACAACAATACATTGATTCCAAGTGACAGAGAAGATACTGCCCTGCATCAGTAGTGCTCTTCACCTTCGAGTTCACTGTGCTCATGAAATCACAGGTCTAGCGCTTATCCTTGTCACTTATAACTTCATGGGGGGATTATGAGAGAAACACTTTGTAAGCCTTAAAGCACTGTATGGATGTGAATTGTTATTAGAAAAGAGTAAGTGTTTACCTAATTAGAGATCTAGATGGAACGATCAAAAAAATTTATTTTCTAAAGAAGAAGACCCCCGAATCTTTGGACTTCATATCTTCAATATGGACCGTATAGTATAAATTCAGTTTTGCTAGATAAGTTTGTCTCTAAATGGGAGCTCTGTTTAATTAATTATTTCAGGGATGATCGTCAGGACCACATCCTCATTTCTCCGACGAACCACTAAGGAAATGGAGTCACTCTCTTTCACAGCTTCAATGACATCTGTGATGGAAGTGACAGGTTGTCCATTTATGCTGGTGATCACATCATGGTTTCGCATCCCAGAGCTGGGGGAAAAGATGAAAGTAGAGAACTAGAGAAAAGGCTTTTGTTTTTACACAAGACTACACATCCCTAAATCTAGAACGAACATAACCTTTTTTCTCATGTGGAATTTCTGCTAGAAAACTTGGGGATAGTTCTGCTTTATTCATCTTGGATTGTGTTGGGGAAAATTAATCTCCAGTTCTGGGCACCCACTAGTTTTCCAACATTCTGCTCCTACAGGTAAGGAAACAAATGGCAAACTTCGTCTAGATATTATCTCTTACCCCTGAACTTCCCCATCAAGCTAACATTAGCACATAAAAACCTTATTGGCTCCAAGAAAAAGTGAAAACTGTTGTGTCAGGATAGAGATGTAGTTTTTCCCCATATATATATTATCTGTTTAACCCTAATAGAAAGTTCTCTGGCTCTTTTTAAAGCATTCCTATAATTAGGGAACATGATAAGCTGAACTACAGTCTGGGCTTCAAATAAATATAAAAATGTAGGGTTCTGTCTCTAGCCTCCCTTCTGAAGTGAAATTTTGATCAGCAAAGTTATGGATTATAAGCCTAGTTCCTTGGCTTCGTTTGGGAGACTAGATCTTCATCACATAGAATCTGTTCTTGATGTGAAAGAGGTTCAAATGTGAAACACCTCAATAGAAATGTTAATAGAGTTGTAGCTTTGCTAATGTTTGTGTCTGAGATGCAACTGCCTCAGGAGATACGTGCCAGTAGATGATTTCCTAGTGGGAAATAGAGACTCATGATAAGAGATTAGGAGCCCCAGCAATAGTTATGACACTTATGAGGAATGAAGTTAGGAAGTAACTTGGGAAATTTTAAAGAAAAAATAAGTTTAGAAAGGATGGAGAAATTTTAGAGGATGTGAAAGGTTTAAGAATAAAAAGGCTGAAATCTGAACTTTTAGAATTGGGTCAGCTTAGGAGTGCTGACCATGGGGCTCCGTGTTCAGCAGTGCAGTAGACTAGGGATAATTATTTGTTCAAAATCTAAGGGAAAAGGCTATCCTAGGAAGAAGTTTTGAGCTAAGACCAAGGCAAAGACCTAGGAACCAGATGGAAGCAATATTGCTTTCCTGTAACTGAGAGAAACAGTTGAACTTAAATTGGAAATTACAAGTAAAGGAGAGCTGGAAACAGCTATGAAAACTTATATTCAAACCCGATTTACTTTTGTCATGCCAAACTGAATAATAAGATGGTGTACTTGTAACTTCTGTATTTTATATATAGTTTGTATTCCAAAATTCTCTCTTTTTAATAGTAGCATGTGCATTTTGCAGCAGTTGATGAAAAGTGTTATTGTAGAACAAACACAATAAAGAAAAGAGGGGCACAGGAGGGAAATTCCATACAATCCTGTATTTACAGGAGAAAACAAGCATCTCATGAGTGGTGGTAGCAGAAAGTTTCCAAAGCAAGAGCAAAATAATCTGGGGAACCTCCTCTTTGAGGGCCATCCTTGGGCTTATTTCCTTATATTAGCCAAAAGAGACTTCCAACTGCAACCTCTTAATATTGTCACCAAGATTTTACAGAAATATCTTGCTTTTTAAAATATAGGGTTATAGATTTAGAGTAAAAGGGACCTAAGAGGTCATTAAGTCTAACCCCCTCATTTTGTAGATGAGGCAACTGAAGAAAAGTTTAAGTGGCTTGTCCAAAGTCACACAGCTAGTAAATGTCTAGGGCAAGATTGGAACCCAGGTCTTCCTGATTCCCAAGTGCAGTACCCTATCCACTATACTGTGCTACCTTAACATTAAAGACCTTTAGTAAGAGCCTATACAAAATTGTGCCTGGAAAATGAGAAGTCCTAAAAATGAGGTTACTGCCTCCCTCCTCAGTTAAGATGCTAAGAAAAAAGATCTGGTAATTTATCAAAACATTCTCATACTTGTAATTCTCCTAACTTATTTCACAAAAAGCTGTGCTAGAAAAAGTATATAATACAAGATAATACCTGCAACACAAAAATACTAGTCGAGTTGAGACCCTGCCTGAGTACCAGTAATTATTGCCATACGACTTTCCAAAAGATAGAAAACCTCATTTTATCTTTTACCTTGCAGCAGGCGTTCCTTGAATCACTTCATATACGAAGACCCCAGAACTCACGTCAGGAAAATCTGGATCCTGATTCTTCATTTCCTGGAGAAGGCTAAGAAACAAGGGCAGGTTTCCATGATGTTAAAATTAAAAGTGATGAATGAAATATTGTGGAACCAGTGTGTGTTTCATTACAAATCATTTGGTCCCTAGGATGTAGGGAAGTACTTTACTCAGGTTAATAGTCACAGGATTCCATTGTGCTTGAATTCCTCAGGGTTAATCATTTCATGAAATATATATAAATCAACAAACGTGTATGATTGAAGAAAGAGATGGGTAGTCATAAAACGAGGGATAATGGCTAAAGTAAGTGTGAGAGCATTCATGAAATTTTTAAAAAGCCAGAGTGGGGTGTTCTATGGGAGGCGGGGTGGAGTTATGGAAGGACAAAAGAAGGCAGAGATGGGTTACATGAGTGGAGGGCATACCCACATCCCTGAAATCCAGATCCATCAAGATAGCACTAGGTATAACCATAACCTGGCTCTATGCAGAGCCCTAGAAGACACAGTACTACTACTATTGGAGGATGCACAGCATGAGAACTGATCAAAGCAGTGATAAACCCCGAGTCCAAAAGAATGAAGATGAAGCATACTACTCTTCTGGCGGGATGAAATTGACAGACAGAGGCATACATTTTCAGCTGTGGTCAATCTGGGCATTTGTTTTGCCAGATGACGATATGTTGAGGAATTTGGGGTTTTGGTGTTTTTTGTTTTTTAATTTACCAATGGTTAACTGAGTGTGGTGGGTGGCAGTAGGGAGGGATAGATTCATTAAAAAATGCTTGTTACTTATAGAAAGATCAACATAATTTTCATGCCCCCCACACATCCATAGAAAGCTGTAAGGGATGGAAATTACAAACGATACCCCTGTAAATTAGGGTGGGGCACTATTTATTGTGATATTCACCAAGGCAAGCCAGAATGCTAAGGGTTAGGAAATAAGTTACAGTCCAATAGCTTTTGCTCTTCCAGGCTTTCCATCATATTCATGCAGTTGACCTACAACCACAGCATGTCAGTGCATGCGCAAAGTTACACACTTACCTCATAGAAAGAGGCAACATCCGGAGGCCTAAATATTTCTTCTGTGAAAGAACTTTTCCTGGAAATAAAGAATCTAATGAGTTGATGACACCCACCAGTCTCCCTCCTCTGGAATAGATCTCAAAATACAGATTCTTCCATATGACAATCTGCTTTTCCCAGTTGTCAGCTGACAAACACGTCATTACTCCCCAAGGAGTCATATTTCTGCAGGAAAGGAGTCGAGTTCCCATGCACAAAGTTTTTGCTTAGGTTATAGTTTGGTCTAGACATTCTGGCCACCATTACAGGAATGGATCACCAATACCCCAGTTTTTGTTAGAGTACACATAAACTTTTCTAGAGAATGCTAAGAATTGAGAATGGGAATGTGAAGAATCCTGTAATCTTCCTTACCTTTTAACTGGCGCTGATGAAATTCTGCCAAGAATTGTCGAATTCGATCTGAGGGAATAGCAAAGGAAATTCCTGCTGTCACCTTCAGGGTGTTTATGCCAATGACTTCACCATCCTAGCAAGGGAGAAGATAGACTTCAGTCAGTAAATTTTGTGCAAATAATATTGAGCCAATGGAGCAATTATCCTATGGTCAGAAGGCACTATGGCTGATGGAATTTTATACCCCTTAAACAGATTCAGTAGGGGAAAGATTCGGTAAGGTTCCAGGTATGCTAGGATAACTAAGGCTACATATAGTTGTGGAAAAACTACCATGTATATATTGAGTCACAGTTGCCAAGAAAATCAAGAAATTCTGGATTTTGGATTTTGTGTCATGAGCTAATTCTTTCCCTCTTGAAATTCAATTAGTTTGAGAAGTGAATTAGGAGCTTCAGTTTCAGAAGGCAAGTGATGGGCCAGTGCCTAGGAGATCTCTAATCTTGACTGGAAATAAAAATGGAAGGGGATCTCATCATAGCTCCCATTTCTACATGCTTAGAGATTTACCGAGCACTTCCCTCACAAAATCTGTCTAAGGGGAATAGTACAAATGTCCCCGCTTTGTATGTAAGAAAACATCTAAGACTTAAAGAAATACAATTTTTTTTTTACTCTAAATCCAGTGCTCTTTCCATTATGTCATCCTGCCTTTCAATATCTGGTGAACTGCTTGTAACTGTTTAGAGCAGGAATTCTTTAAAGACCTTTTGTATGTCATGGTCCTCTTTGGCAGTCCAGTGAAGCTTATGGACTCCTTTTCAGAAAAAATGTTTTAGGTAATTAAAGAAAATACCTAATTTCAGTTAGAGGTTAGTGAAAATGAGGAAGTAATTTTTCTCATCAAAATTTATTACCCACCCCATCCCCAAAATCTGTCTATAGACCCCAGGTTAAGAACCGCTTGTTTAGAGAAACAATCATGGTTGGCCATGGGTGATGCAAACAAACCAGGAAAGATTTCCCTGTGTATTTCCCTTTCAGTTAATTGGTGTGTTTTGCACTTTGTGTTGTAAAAATAGTGCACAGACCCCAAACCTGCTTTAGCATTTAAGAAGGGACTTCCTCTCCCACCCACCCCCCAAATCAATAAAAAATAAGAACTGAAGTTCAGAGTACATCACCGAGTGCAATGGATCAGATGAATTATTTATTTCATCGTTTCATTTTTATTAGAAACCAGATGCTGAAACATTTCCCCTAGAGATCTAATAAAAAGTTTAGAAGAAATTAATAAGGCACAGCAATGAACTGTTCCTCTGGTTAAAACTGAAACTTTCTCTAATATATAATATGCTATATACAATGAAGAGTTTGGAGTGGAGGCAAGTTTAACCCAACATATTGAACCAGGGGGTCTTAAGGTTATCAATGATGCAAAACCATTCAGTTCCTAGAGGTCAAAGGTGGCTTTTGTCTTTCTTTGTATCCCCAGTACTTAACCCAGTGGCTGGTACATAGTAAGTGTTTAATAAATGCTTTTGGGGGAAAAAAATGCTTTGTTGACTCACTGCAATTCTAAGGAGTTTTTATTTTTGTCCAGTAAAAAAAAAAAAGCACATGTTGACTATTCCTCTTTTCTGACCACCATTTTGAATGAAAGGAAGAAAGGAAGGAAAGAAGGGGAGTGAAAAAGAGAAAGAAATTTTTTAAAATTTGAAGGGATACCGAAGGCAGGCAGCTTTCTTTCCAATGAAGTCAAAGGTTTTGGATTTTCTTGAACAGTTTCCTCTAGAACAGAACAAACATCTCTTCACAGATCTCCTCAAACACTGATGCCCAACCTTGGTATCATGGAATTTGAAAAGACCTTACATGTTAAGAAGAGATTTAGAGGGGCAGCTAGGTGGTGCAGTGGATGGAGTACCTGCCCTGGAGTTAGGAGGACCTGAGTTCAAATGCAGCCTCAGATACATAATGCTTCCTAGCTGTATGACTCTGGGCAAGTCACTTAACCCCAATTGCCTCACCAAAAAACAAACACACACAAAAAAAAGAAGAGATTTAGGGCAACAGAGAAAAATCAGCTACTTACCAAGTTCAATAGAGGCCCTCCAGAATTCCCGTGCTGCAAGACAGAATTAGAGAAAAGCAGTCACAAGTGCCAGACAAAGTATCCCATCCATTACTATATATACTGTCCTCAAAAAGCAGGGCTTTAAATCTTTTAGTTGCTTCTGGCATTGGAGATAATATGTTACATTGTCAGAGAATTCTTTACAAGAAATACCAACCCAGTTAGATTAGCACTAAAATTCAGCACCTTTTAAAGTAATATTCAAAGGAATATAACACAATGAACACCAGTTAGCATTGTTATACTTCAAAGATTTGTGATTGAATCACTGCGGTACATTCTTCATAATACCAATCACAATTTCTCTAAAACACAGAAGAGTCTTCATGAGTTGCTGTGGCTGAAAAACTCATCAACCTGTAGTGAAGAACCCCTTCAAACTTAGCCAGAATGTGCCCTAAAATGCCAACATATGACCTATGGCCAGGTCTGTACATAAGTCAATCAACAAACATTTATTAAATGCCTATTTTGTGTCAAGCACTATATTATGTACTGAAGATACAAAGATGAAAACACAACAGTCCCTGTCTTCAATGAGCTTATATTCTAACAGGCAGAGCACTATGTATACAACTAACTACATTTAAACATACACAACAATGTGTGTGTACATGTAAACAATGTGTGTAAAAGTAAATGTACACAACAAACTAAAGATATAAATTTATATATAATTTCATAGAGTTATGTGAAGATGTTTCAAAATATAAATATATATATATATATATGTTTGTAAATATAAAAGTATCCTCTCTGCAATGAAGAGTTTTAGAGAGATGCTTGGGGCACTGAGAGATCAAATGACTTAATCACAGTCACTTAGCCAATATGTGCTAGAAGTGGGGCTTGGTTTCAGCTATTCCCAAGTCTGAGGACAGCTCTCTATCTGCTACAACAAACTTCAGGTAAATACTTGAAGTCATTCCAGCTTAGTCGGACCTGCTAGAAATTGTGATCCCCTGGCAAAACCTTGAAGAACCCAAAGTTACTTACATGCCATGATGAAGCAAGACAGATCCATGGTAAAAAGAAATAAAAATATTCAGAGACTGAGCCCTCAGGATGTATTTCATGACTGATGCTGAGGATCAGGTGAGTTCTGTACATCAGGAAGCCACTCAAAGAGGGAGGGAAGAAAGGTCTAAATATTTCTCTCACTTTACATGGTAAGAGAGTGGGCCTCCTGAGTCGACTTACATTGATGATGGCATCAGTCTGGATATAGTCCATGTCGGAATCCTTTAGACCCAATTCCTTGCCTCCTCGTTGAGTAGTGCTGACAATTCCTGCAGTCACCGTATTCTGAAGGGAGAAGGGGCTGCCTAGAGCCACCACAAACTCCCCCGCCTGCAGGTTGGATGATCGTCCCAAGAACAAAATGGGAAGGTCAGTCTGCATTGAGGGCAGAGGTGAGGTGAGGGGGAAGTGGACACAATATAAGCAAGAGAGAAAATTGTGATTAGCTACTGGTTATATACATATCTATCTTTGTGTGCAGTCCTGAGTCTAAAAATCTCTTCCCTACACCCACAAAGGCTATCAAATAGTTCTCCTCTAATTTCCAACATTCACTCTTTACAAAATATTACTGACTATATCTAAGGATTTGTGGTTATTATATTGCAGTAATGACAGTAATTAGTAAATTTTAAGTAAGTTAGGTACAGAACCTAAAGTTAGCAACGAAGCACTGTTCCTGCCCCCAAATCAATGTTAGGCCATAAACAGAAAGGGAGATCACCCAGAGTGTCCTGGAGGAACCTCAAGACTTCCTTAGGAAAGTGAGGTAGCCCAATATTCCCCAGTGTGAATGAGGCAAACTCTGTTAGACCAGGGAGACTCTAGGACTTTCAGAGGACCTCAAGCATGCATCTCTGGAGAGAAGATGGATCCTTGAGTCTGACTTCTGATGAGGAATTAGCAGAGAAACTGGGGGTTACTGATGGCGTGGGTCTTTGCCACAAAACCATTGATTTGGTTTAGGAATATATTTCTATTCCTCAAGAAAGCCTCAAGAAATAGAATAGGAGAGAAGAATGAACTGTCCATTGAATCTTTTTTTAGAAGAAGATAGCTACAGGCTTGCTTGACACATGGTCTTCTCAGGGATGTCTGAATCACCCATATTTTACAACTTACATAAAAACCCAAAAAGTCAAGTCAATAAGCATTTATTAAGTACCTACTATGTGCCCAACACAGTGCTAAGCACCAGGGATACAAGGAAAGGCAAAAGACAACCCTTGCTCTCAAACAGCTCAGAGTCTAATAGGGAAACCACATGCAAACAATTATGTACAAACAAGATATATACAGGATTAAGAGGAGATAAAAGTAAAAATATGAATAAGATTTTAAAACTCCTGAGAAGCAGTGAAACAAAGGAAGGATGAGATCATTAGACTGGAAAGAAGAGAGAAAAGAATAGAGAGGCAACAAGGAAGCTCAACAGAAAGCATGTTGTGAAGGTAGAAACTTTGAAAAGATATCAGAAAAAAATGTTTTTAATCCCAGAAAATAATAGCTTTAGCTTTGCACTTGTGCAGCCTTACCTCTGGTTCAATCTTGATGAGAGCAAGGTCAGTTTTTTGGTCAACATCTTTGACCGTCGCTTCATATTTGGCCCCACTCTGGAGTTCCACATTGATCCGCTGTCGGTTGGTGAGGACATGAGCATTGGTAACAATGAGCCCATCCTCAGACACTATGAACCCTGAGCCGCTGGATGCATGAGTGTACTCATTGCTTAAAGGGGACCTGAATCAGCAAGAGAATCATATCAGAAGCAGAGCAAGCAAACTTGGCTTTGCCCCCAATGTATCATCATATGTGTAGGTCGAGGGGTGAGGCAAGTAGCATACACTTCTCCCATGGAGTGATCTCTCCCCATGTATCAACCCTTGAAGAAGACCTCCTCTGGCTTGCTGAGTGATGCCACCACCCTCCCTCTAGGGCGTCCCATTGCTGAGATGCAGCTCTGCAGCCACATTCAGACTTTATTTTTCATTGATACCCACTACTGCCACCGCCCCTCATTCATGGATCTTGCCCAGGGTGAAAACATTAATAGCTGTGGCCCTGGTAAGCAGATAGAAGTAAGACTAGTCAAATACCAGACTGGAAATTCAAGGATTTTGTGTTGTAATCCTTACAATTTACCTAAATCTTGTGCTTAGTTTTCTGTCGGTAAAATTAAGATGATAAAATGATATCCTTGCAACTATTTATGTGCTATAGGAATCTGCACTTTGAATACATAGCCATACCAGGAATGTGCTGGCAAATGTTTAAAAACCAGCTCTCGGTTGGGGGAGGGGGGAGGAATGCATTCCTTTCATGCTTTTAAAGTTAATCTGCATTATTCATATTTTCTCCACCACTTTCTTAAGTCTAGACAATAAACAAAGCCCTGATTTATAGCAAATTCTCACACTGAAAATTTAACAACCAGCTCTCAAAAGCCAATTCAAGTTAGCTCCAGCCCATCCCTGGCTCAGTAATCACGTACAAGATATGAATACACCTTCTAGTTATTTTGCTAGCATAAAGGACTGAAGAGTTCTCCCAATGTTGCCCCAGATAAAAACCGACAAGATGGACCATATAGGCCCTATTAGCATCTTCAGCTCATAATGATGCTGGTGATTTTTCAGCTCTTCACCTGCCTCCCTGGTCCTCATTCCCACCTTGAATTCTGATCCACATGGGCAATAATGTGCTCCATTGGAAAGAATGATGAGAGTTAGAAGGACTAGTGTTAAGTCCCCAAGTCTGTCACATAGAGAAGTGACAGCAAAGAAATCACTTATGTCTCCAAGTTTCTGTTTCCTAAAAACAGAAATAACTACATCTACACCATTTACCTCACAGAATTTTTTGTGAGGAAATCATTAATGAGTCCTTACATGAACTATTCTTAACATCACAGAGGGCTCAGGAAAAGCCTCCTGTACCTATCTGTCTTTTCAGTCTTCCCAGGCACAGCCCATAGAGCACCCCAAACTATATTCCAAGTACATTACTATATCCTGGTTGCTTTGTGAATATAAGCAACATTGTGACCCGTTTTAGCAAGTAACATGAACTTTGTCTGAAGGGTTCTCATTGGATATGTTTTGGTTGGACACAGAGGGCAGAACTTGGAGCTGTCAGTGGAGACATATTTGGACTCAATATGAGCAAAAACTCCCTCACAATTAGATCTACCCCCGAATGCAATGGACTTCCTTGGTGGTAGGGTGGTAGTGAGTTTCCTGGAGGTTCAATGACCACGGTCAGGGATGTTACAGAGAGGATCATGGTTTACAGAGGGGTTGGGCAGGATTACACCTCTCTCCAACTCTGTATCTCATTTTATGATTTTAAATACTGCTGTGAGGGATAAGGACTGGACCTGGTAAAGAAAACTCCTAATTGAAGAAAATCCCTCTACCAGTGCAGGTCAGTACCTTCTCTGCCATAGATAGCCTTAGAGAGGCATCTAAGGCACTAAAGTTAAGTGACTTGTCCAGGGTCACGTAGCCAGTATGTGTGAGGGACAGGACTTAGACTGAGGTCTTCTTGGCTTTGAGGCTGGCAGTCCCACCACCACACTGTGCTACTTCTCTATCTTTTATATGTACAATTAACATTTTACATTTTTACAATAATTGTTTATTAAGCACCCACTATGTGTCAGGCACCATGGTAAGCACTTGGGGATACAAAGAGAATGTAAAATACAGTCCCTTCTCTCACACTCTAATGGAGGAGACAACATGGAACAACTACGTACAAACAAGCTATACGTGGGATAATTTGAAAATGATTAAGAGAGAAGGCACAAGGATTAAGAGGGATTGAGAAAAGCTTCCTGGAGACGGTAGGCTTTTAGCTGGCACTTTTACAGGCATTTCCATGCACGCAATTCGGGTTCTCTTCTGTGTAAAAGAAAACTTCCCCAGAGAGTTTTCTCATTCTATTGATTGGGGAGTTCATCAAATTAACCATCCATGACTACCCACAGCAAAGGATTTGCCTCCTGGCCAACTTCAAATGTTAGTACTCCCTAAAGACAGCTGAAATCAATTGTACTACCCCCCATAAGAGCTTTGTACTGGAAGAGCTTTGTTCTGCACAACTAGCGATCTCCACCCCTTTTCTATGCACCTGAAATTCACACTCTAAAGATTTTACCTTAATTTATGTCTCTGGGATACTTAGATAGGACACAGTTACCCTCCCGTCTTACCCCGTCCCATTACCTGCGGAACAGCTCCAAATGTACCACAGATGGCGCCACCTTCTCCACCACCTCAACGATGAAGTTATATTTGTCCCTGAGATTGCCTGGGCTTCTGGTCCCTGAGAATGAATATGATCTTCTTGATGGTGCCTATGCTGGTGCCCACCACATCATAGCAACATTCAAACTACTTCCCCTCCCCCC